AACAGATTTTCCTCAGAAATCAATTGAGATCCCTTTTCACATCAATAGGTAGAACTGTGGATGTAGGAAATATACAAGTGCACGAAGCAATCTGGAAAACAAATCATTAATGCTACACCGTGACAGAGCACTAGGTGAAGAATGTGCCAATAGCTACGGTGGCCTGTGGCAGTTTTCTTCGGGATTCTTGGCGCAAGTGCAGTGAATACTTTTATTCTGTATATCTCGTGTTCCTGGCTTGATTTTGTGACTAATGACCCTCAAAATTGGTGAGTGCGAAATCGCCGAATTAGGCGAGTCTTGGCCTTGCGTTAGACCCGTTTTGGAAGTCAATTGAGAGCTTCAAGCAGAAGGGATACTTCAGAAAACAAAGACGTTGTACGTAGACGAACCAGAAACGGAGACTTCAAAGTGCTTACTTATGCCGTCTGTTTAGAAAACTTGTATTTTCGGAGTGTGTAGCATAAAGTACGTTGTCTCTACTGAGAGAATATATAAACAGACAGCGCCCTGAAGCTGAATGGAATCCAGACTCTTAATGCACCAGGAATGCGAGAATTTAATATTTTAAGGACTTGTGTTAAATTTATTCCAGTATTTATGTGACTTCTTTTTCACTTGTCTAACAGAAGTTTTCTGAATATATGGATTCCAGCAAGTATCATACAGTATTTCAGTACATGCCTTTTTATATTTAGCTGTATAGAAATGATTACAATTACGACATGAATTAAGCATATGTAAAATATAACACGTAAAGTAAAGGTATCCCTGTAACGGGCCGTGGAGGGCCGTAGGGTTGTGAGTTGTTGAGGTTCCCACATTGTCTAGACAATCGGCTCATAGATGGCGGTAAGGTTGTCAGCCTTATGCACCAGCTGCCCTTTACCCCCAAGAATATTCCAGGTACTCATTTCTGCTAGAGGCTGAGTCGATCCCCAGCGGCATAGTGCGGCTGGAAGGATTAGGTAAATTGAAAAAAAATCCAATGACCTCATCGGGATTCTATCCCGTAACCTTCCGGCTTGTAGCATAGTGCCTCAACTAACTACGCTACCGCGAGCCCCTGTAAAATATAATTACATAAACTACCACAGTCAATAATTTCGTGGACTGGCCGCAAAGCGTCGTTGCAGTGCACTACAGCGGATAGGTTGAGGTACGATATGATGCCCTGTCGGTTCATCTCTCGTCACAGCAGGAGGCAGTTGTGTGCAAACGGTGTCAGTAGAACTACGACCTCTATTGTGAACTGCAGTTAAATGCAAGTGGCGGAGATCGAAAATGTGGCAGTTTGAACAGCGTGCAAACATAAAGTTCTGCCAGAAACTAGGCAAATCCCCTAGCGAAACATTTGGAGTAGGAAGAATTGGCTGTTGCTACACGACAACGCCCCTGCACATCGCTCTGTCCTTGTCCAAGAGGAACTGGCAAGGCAAAAGGTCACCGTTTTGCCATACCCTCCGTACTCACCTGATCTCGCACCATGCGATTTCTTTCTGTTTCACCGCTTGAAAGCAAAGCTACGTGGTCGTAGATTTCAGTCATCCGAAGAGTTCGTCAATGCCACAAGAGACTCCGTACGGGAATTTACTGCCAATATGTTTCAGCAGTGTTTTTGACAGCTATATAAACGTTGGTAATCTTGCATAGCGGCCAACAGCAACTACTTTGAGGGCTGATGTGGATCTGTGTAAGTGTATGTGAATACCTTGTAATATGATGCGATAAAACCACATTCCACGAACTTAATGACTCTACCACGTATAAACGAGTATATGTATTATAAGATACACGAGGAGTAGTTTTTAGAACATTGGCTTTATTAATGTATTTTTAATGAACATTATCTCAGACCGTAAGTAAAAGTAAAGTTATCCCTGTAACAGGCCGTGAAGGACCATAGGGTTGTGAGACATTGAGAGTCCCACATTATCTATACAATCGGCTCAAAGATGGCGGTAAGGTTGTCAGCCTTACGCGCCGGTCGCGCTTTACTCCCCAGGAAAATTATTTAATTGATCCCTGGTACTCATTTCTGTTAGAGGCTGAGTGAACCCCAGGGCCTAGTGCGGCTTGAAGGATTAGGTCAATTGAAAAAAAAATCCAGTGCTCTCATCGGGACTTGAACCCGCGACTTTCCGGCCTGTAGCATAGCCCCTCAACCAAGTACTGGATGCTTCTCTCTTTTCCTGTTGCTCCCTGTGAAGCATAGGGCATCCGTGAAACTTTTTTTCTCTTCAGTTTCTTTAATTCTGAGACAGTCGGTAGGACTCCTTGGACGGGGGATCAGCCCGTCTCAAGACCGCTACCTACACAGGACAACATATACACAGATCAAACGTAGACAGACATCCATGCCTTGATTTGGATTCGAACCCACGTTCCCAGCGATCGAGCAAGCGAAGAGAGTTCATGCCTAGACCGCGCGGCTACTATGATCGGCTGCTAGTGGATATTAAGTGTCCCTCAAGTACAACCCTGAAACTTACTGAGCAACCTGACTGATTACTGGCTTTTAAAGTGAAGTGAAATATTTATGAATAGTAACGTACAAAACATTTGGCATAGCGATTGCAGAGAAAAGATGGAACCATTAAAATTGAAACTGGATTGCCTGGAGAATAAATTATTTATATAAAGTATTTATACCATGTGAGAAGTAATTTATGACGAGTTTCTGCAGGCATTTAAGTTTACAGACATGCTTGTTGGCTATACTCCCTCACAGTACGGTTGAACTTCCAGTGCTAATGATCTCTCTGACTAAACGCACCGCACGTGCTTGAACGTAAAATATTTTTGTTGGACATCGTCCACTTTCTTGGACATATTTTATATGCACGACGCTGCAGGAGTTGGCTCTGTTCCCGTCTCTGGGATTTGATTGTTATCATTATATTGGCCGACTTTTGTTAGTTGCCTTGTTAAAGTCGGTGGTGACGGTTGTAGTAGAAGGAGCATGTCCAAATTGCTTTCTTGCAAGACATCCGACAGCGGGTGTTTTAAGCATACTCGTTGAAAATATCCAGTGATTCCGGCCTTGCTGCTGACTTACCTTGCCGCTTTGGAGCCATTGATCAATAAAGTGTTATTACATAAGACCCTTAGCGATAGAAACCACGTGGGCGTGCCTCTGTAGTACCTTACATTACGTCAAGACCACTTCCTTCCCCCATAATTGAGGAGCTATTTCAAGGAAATATCGGCTCTGGTGTAGAAAACCGAGACTAGCGGACTTGGGGATTCGTTGCACTGACCACGCGACACTATCTATCCGCTAAAGTTAGCACTAACTTTGCCGAAAAGCGGCGGTCGCTCGGTCGGTATAGTTCGCTTGCGGACTACAGGCCACGGAGATTTTTTTACTTCCTTCCCCATCCTTTCCAGTGCATTATTTACTAATCGCCCTATTATCCGACGCTATATTATCTGACTTCTTGAAAGCGCCACCAAAAATAAACGGACAAATAAATAAAATGTGATATTAGTGTCACGAAATCTTAACCGTGCATTTTCTAAATGAAAGGAAACTGTCCAGACTTCATGTGATGCGCATATTGTGTAAATATACCTTACGAAAATACAACCACAGTGAAGCGTTAAAAAGCATATACTGTAAGACTCTACATTTTGTATTCCGTAGATTTATCCTCGGAGATTCTGGGATGTCTTAGAGTGCTCTGGCACAGCTGTTTTCAAGCATTCCTCGGCCATAAGCCGCATCAGAATGGTTCATAAATTCAAGATTCCCATAAAATTGCTAAACATGTTTGCATGTTCAACACTGTGCTATTAACAGTACAGACCTATCCCGACATACGGCAAATCCAGCCTTACGACATCAGCACATTGATACCTCTAAACAGAAAGCTATATAGAGCCTCATACATCGATATTCGAGGGATTTCTTCTCATAGAGTCTACTTTGTTGCCTCTTCGATCAAGTCAAGGAGAATGAGATGGGCAGGGCATGTAGCACGAATATGGAGAGGAGGATTTTGTTGGGAAAGCTGGAAGGAAGGAAACAACTAAGAAATCAACACGTAGGTGGGTTGACAATATTAAAATGGATCTTAGATAGGATGGGGTGGTGTAGATTGCACCGATCTGGTTCAGGATAGAGACCAGTAGAGGGCACTTATGAACTCGGTAATAAACCTTCGGGTTCTATAAAATGCTGGGAAGTTCTTGAGTAGCTGCACAATTGGCAGCTTCTCAAGAATGGATGAGCTCCATGAGTGAATGTGCCAGCAGCACTTTGCATTACTTACTTACTCACTCACTCACTCATGGAGCTTATCCCTTCTGGAGAAGCCGCCAATTCTGCAGCTACTCAAGAATTTCCCAGCATTTTATGGAACCCGAAGGTTCATCACCGTGTTCACAAGAGCCCTCCAGTGGTCTCTATCCTGAGCCAGATCTATCCAATCCATACCATCCCATCCTATCTCTCTAAGATCCGTTCTAATATTGTCCACCCACCTATGCCTTGGTCTTCCCTGTGGTCTCTTTCCTTCTGGCTTTCCCACCAATATCCTATACGCATTCCTCATCTCCCTCATTCGTGCTACATGCCCTGCCCTCCTCATCCCACTTTCCCCTGGGTACCCATTGGATAGGAGGTTGGGTGGACCCCAGAGCCTGTATGGATGACATGGAGAAGAGAAAAATCTTGACCTTACTGGGACTCTGTAACTCCAACCCCCTTGATTGTGCAGCCTGCAGCCAGTCGCTATACTGACTATGCTACTCCGGCTCCTTATCTGTAGATAAAAGCCATACAAAATACATAATGCCACACTTATTGCTATCTGTCATATGGCCACTACATCCCCAGTGCTCAGTTCTGTCATAAAAATATGTACGTTGAATGTACCTAAGGAATTGCTGCAATACATATCACCAGTAAGTTTTTTGAACAGCATCTGGCATCTGCTGTATGTTGTTTACTGGAATGTGTTTGCACACAGCTAATATCATTTTCTATTCAACACTAGGTATTTGTTCTGCGCAAGAGAGCTACTCATCAAATTCCACGACCTGGGACAAGATTTTACATTTGTTCCTTGTCACTGTACACAGTAGTGTACAAGGGTCAATTCACGTCAGATCAGCTCTGGACCTACTTCAAAGATTTGAAGGTAAAGGCATATTTCAGACAGAGTGTGACTGTTGTGATTTAAAATGTACAACATCTACCTTGAAGATGGATGTAACAGGCCCCTCTGAAACACTGGTAACCATGTGTGAAACTACATGGTGTTATTACCCAGAAGAAGAAGAATTTAACATTCCTCATTCCCATAATTATGTGTCATTTAGACTCCGCATTTTATGGATATGATTAGGCAAGTCTTTAATTTCCTTTTAATCTGTGGAGCTTATGCATCTTTATGGAAGCTACATTGTTTTCGGTCTTATCCTTACTAGATCCTCACCAGAGTTCTCAGAGACATGGCTAGCTCTTTATATCACCAGAGGACCCAACAGCTGAGCACTCTGGAAAAAAGAGACTTACTACTCAACTGAATTTGAAGTTCTTACATTGCTGACTGAAGAGTTCCGTTATCTGGGATGTAATGCCTTGTAGTCTGGTAAGAGTGAGGCGATATTGCTACTTGCTTCTTTACTTGCTTGTCTTGCTATTATACCCTGAAGATGGAGGCAGTAAATTCCTCGGAAATATCCTTGAACTTCTGCCAGACTACATGGCACCACATCTCAATGGGACTCTTCGTAATCATCACTGTCAGAACCCAGATATCACTTAATTAGGCTGGTTTGCTACATGTTAGCCTGAAATGAATGTAATTTGCATGAAAGTAATGGCATAATGTCAGGTCCATGAAGAAGGAAGCAGGATAGCATCCCATCTCATCCCAATACAAGAAAGTATTTGTATTTAGCATGTTTTTATTGCAAAGTCTTGAATGTTGTGACACTGTGAGCAGCTGTCATAGGAACTGGAATACTGCCAGTTAAAGTTAATGTCAGGACATTTTGCTTCTATATTTTTGTGGTACCAGTTCCTTCATGTAATTAAAGTTATTAGGTAAATGCTAATTAGTGAGGAATGAGACCATTAATTTGTAATTGTAAATTTAACTGCTGAACTGAAGTCCCAAAATTTGGATGTCCAAATGAACACTGTTCATTCAGTCATAATTTCTTATGTAGGCAAGTGTACTGTATAAGAAGTTGTAGGTTTGACCATACTTTCACATATTTTTGGTAATATGTATTCTGGGCTGACTTTCATACTGTATTACAAGGGACTGATGACAGTGTCACCTAAATAGAATACAGTACCTTCAGAATACTGCTTAGATTGAAATGTTGTATTTTAGCGTCCTGTTGCACTGATTTTCATCCATGATATATATACAGTTGCCGTCTTGTAGTGCACTCAGTTTCACCTGTTACTTCACGACATGTTTCGGCAATATAGTGCCATCATCAGGTACCCTAATTACGCTAACTTATTTCATTGCTTGCCTTTATAAAATTATTTAAAAAGTATTTAAAAAGTGCGTATTTGTCAACTATAATAAATTTACACACACTAAAACTTGTTAAGATTATTCATCTTATGTGTCATAATTAAAACTTGCGTGTGGTTCTTCCACTATGGGGGTCGTTTTTCTTATATTCTTTATAAACCGTTGTAACCGCTCACGTTGGGCGCCACTTCTTGTAACCGTTGGGCGCCACTTCTTGTGACCGTCCCCTTCTCTATCTTTTATTTATTTATTTATTTATTTATTTGCCAGCTTCGGTAGACCACTTGACTCTTCTCAGGATCGTGTCACGGTAATAACTGAGGCTATGAAGAAACTGCACATTTAAAGCTAGTCCACTGAGAGAAATTTCTGCTCTCCACAAATTGTTTATTTCAGAAGCAAACACGATAACTTTATTAGCAAGTACGGAGTAATGTGTCCCTTTTATTATTATCAAAGATTAATCGAACCAAATAAAGACTGATAAATTTAGGTAAACTTGGAGAGTGCAGCCCAATGACGTCTGCATCTGATGAATTCTAAACGCCAAGTCCTTCTGCCAACTCTATTCTGCGGGAGCGTCGCTTCATCCCCTGTATAGGATTTGAACCGACGGCCTTTCTCCCAGACAAGAATAGTTTCCTATTGGCTGATTTTAACTGCCAAATCCATCATACCATCAGCACTAGACAATCGCATAAGGAACTTTGAGAATAAAGAGATCCAAAGATATTGAACCTGGAACCCCACATGTGAAAGCGGTTATTTCTTAGTTTAGGGTCCAATTACACCCTTCCGAAGACACTTTTATAACAGCTACCCTATCAGCTAAACAAAATTTACATCTTCGGCAAACTATAGACTTGCCTTTCGTGATGGCGGCATCCCTTTTGCGGTCACCCAAGCTGCTGGTAACGAAACAAGGCAGTTGTTCCTGTGCAGATGCGAAAAGCAAAATCATAACTTGCTAATGGATCGGTCTCCCCCAAAAATCAGTCACTCTATTGAAATGGCTAAAGAGGAACATAGCGTCCATTGAAGAGTTTTAAAAGGTTTGGACTGTCACACCGTGTCTTGTGATGTGTGTTCCCTTCTTAGCTGCGAGTGTCGTAATGTTGGATGTCGCAGCTAAGAAGGGAACACACATCACAAGACACGGTTTACACAGAATATAAGAAAAAGACCCCCATAGTGGAAGAACCACACGCAAGTTTTAATTATGACACATAAGATGAATAATCTTAACAAGTTTTAGTGTGTAAATTTATTATAGTTGACAAATACGGACTTTTTAAATACTTTTTAAATAATTTTATAAAGGCAAGCAATGAAATAGATTAGCGTAATTAGGGCACCTGATGATGGCACTATGTTGCCAAAACATGTCGTGAAGTAACAGGTGAAATTGAGTGCACTACAAGACGGCAACTGTATACATATCATGGATTAGATTGAAATGTTCAATTCAGGTACTAAATTAGCCTGAACACAAGGCCAGTTTTATTTTTTGAAATACCACTTCTTAGAAAATAGAGGTCACCTTATTTTTAAGTCCTGAATAATAAATATAAATAATATAATTTTGAAGAGTTATAATTGCTGATTCCAAATATGAAGAAAGCCTCAAATCTTACAATTCCAAATATATTTGTGAAATACCAAAAACCGTATTTAAAGTATTAAATTTCAAATTTATTACCTTTGTTGTATGCATCATGTTGTGTATCAGTATGTGGTATTATTATATGGAGGTCAACACATCAATCGCAGAATAAATAAATCAATATTACCATATTAACACTTGAAGAAAGCAGTGTTCTGGGATGTGGCACAGTGTAGATGTGGTGTTAACCGACGTTTCGGAGGAACGTATCGCCTCCATCTTCAGGGCAGAAAGGAAAAAATCCACAAGCGAAGAGACCGTGAGAACCNGGTTGCTATGTTAGTCGGTCATGGCCCTGTAGCCTTGTGGATCTGTGGTCATGTCCCGGGGAAGGGGGGGTCTTTAGGGAACAGATAAGAGGCTTCCATGACTAATATTGGTATATTTACTTAAAAATTGTCATGTTGACATCTATATAATTTTACCACATCCAAAATTATTATTTCTTTAGAGTACAGTTTTTACTTTTTTTTTTCTTACAGCCCCCAGAAGTAAATAACATATTCAGTTTTGTCAAATATTTTCTTTTCTGATTTTCTCATTTGAAAAAGAAGGGGTTATCTTATATTCGGGCTTGTATGGTAGGTACCATGTCCTGTCATCTATTAAGTGACACAATGATTGACCTTCAACCCTATTTAAATGCCTTAAATATTAAGACTACCAACAAAACATTGAGCCAGATGAGACAGCTCCTTGACTTTACATTGTGCTATGGAGTATGACTTCTTATTAATTTGACTTGGTTCATCCTGGTCCATCACACTAGCAACAGTATAAAAGATTATTAACACCATCCAGTGTGACTGATAAATGTTGTGTTTTTTTAGTCTTTCATTCTTTACATGTTCCAGTTGTACCAACCATCTTCAGAAGGACATTATCAATACATACAGAAACTACTATTACAATGTCATAGATATAAATTATCCTTTAACAATTACTGGGATGTGCATTTGTTAAAACAATTATAAATTATTATAATTAGTCTATTTACAAAACATTGTTTAAAACACTTTTTGTTAAAATCTGGAACCAATTTGGTTCATATCCTTTATATTTCTTCTCTTTAAAGGAAGATGAATGTATGCCACATTGTGGTTATGTTGTTTGAAGAATAAGACTCTTTAGTGTCCAGTTGTTCAGGTCACGCTGTGACTTCTTATTAGTGGTACACAAAGGAGATTTTGAAAATGACACGTGTCTTACTTTACTTGCAGTCGCCTAACTATGACACATACTTAGCACTGGTACACACCCGATTCTCAACCAATACATTCCCAAGCTGGGAGAGGGCCCATCCTTTGCGGTAAGTACTTCGGGATATTGCATTATGGTAGTATGGAAGTTTGGTACTTAATAGTGTGAATAATATAGAACTGCTGGATATCCCACAGCCATTTAGTTCAGTCATGTTTCGTTTCAGATTGATATATTCCTTTATTGTTGCTAATAAAGTAGAGCAGATTACTTTCATTGATGGTTTTGTATGTTACATGCCATTAGTTATGATTCATAGGAAGAACAGTTTAAAATCTGACAAAGAATGTGATAATGCACAAAAGAAGTTTCAACTTTTTGTCATCTACCACTGAAGGATATTTGTCCGTTCATAAAGGATATGAACACAAATGGGTGGCTGGTTGGTTTCCAATGGCTGCATTTGGGATTGTTTAACCCATTTTGCTTATTTCAAATTTCATCATTATTTTAATGCTATCTACTTTTTCCTTTTAGTTTTATATGACACCCCATACAAAAATTGGTACTTGTAATAGTCACAGAAATTTGAAAGTCATAAACCTATGCTGTGCATGATTTTCTTTACCTGGTTGCCTGGATAAACTACTTCATTCACAGCTGGTAAATGTTTTTTTCATCAGTCCTCTTTATGTTGTATTTTATGTGTTGGTGTTTTTCATTTTTGAACCTAGATGCTATCAGAGTCATTTAGAAGCAAGGTTATTACAAATGCTATAGATTTTAGAATAAGCATGTATGCCAATGTGCAGATGTGTGGCTCACAATGGAGAAATCAACACTTTGAGAGGCAATGTGAACTTCATGAAGGCACGTGAAGGTGTCATGAAAAGCTCTGTGTTTGGAAATGACCTCAAGAAACTGTATCCAGTTGTGGAACCCAACTTGTCTGATTCAGGAGCTGTTGATTGTGTCCTGGAATTCCTTGTCATGGCTGGAAATAGACCAATGCCTGAGGTAAGTTATATTGTTTTCCAATACTGTGATTTTAAAATATAAGTAAAATTTTTCTGCAGTGTTACATGTTAGAAATAAGTTTACAGGAATTTGTCTATGAAGTCTGGTGCTTCAAATAGGAAAGTTGGGTTGGTGGGTAGATGGATGAATTAAGTATTTCTGTCAAGGTTTTTTTGAAAGGAAAACTGTGAATTTAAAATAAGGCAAGAAGGTGTTTCATCCAATGGTTTTTTGAGTTTACATTTTATGTGTAATACACAGAACCTTACAAGACCTTGTTGCACTCTTATTGGGATCAGACTGGAATTGCTACTCAAAGTTGTGTTTTAGGTACCATGAATTTAAAATTTGGAATGATGAAGCCGATTCTTCTCAGTAATAGTGTGTGATTTTTTGTTATAACATTTATTTATCTCTTTATGTATATACCACTTAGCGATGTATTTTCATTTTAATCCCCCCTTTCATCAGTAAAAAATACATGTTCTGTGTGATCCATTTTGCTGTTTCTGTGTGATTAAAAGATTGCTCTTAGCAATAAGTTTTCAGTCATTCTAAAATAACCGCATGACGTGTTGTCTTGATATGTATTCTTATTTCTTCTTTTTTATCCTTTATCAATTTCATACCCAGCTCATGGGTTCCCTTCTCTCGTCAGTGACATGATATTTTTGTTTTGTATGATTACTCAGAATCATCAAATGTTGTGAAAGACAACCTCAAAGACACTGAACTTTCTCATTATGCTGTATTAGAAAAACGTTCTTTCCCTTCATGACTTACTATACTTTGTCTTCATGCTTTGTTTTTCATAGTCTGTAACTAAGAGCTCAGATATTGTCCTTAAAGGTCAGTACTTCTAAAGGCCCAATATGCATTGTTACTGCTCTGTATGCCATATTCATTAAAACTTGTATTATATTGTACATATTTTCTGACCTGTAGAGAAATTGTTTCCTTTGATTTGTATGTAGGAACTTCAAATTCATATTTGAGATATATTCTTTCCTGGCTGTATTTTCCTTTATTCATTTTCAGTTTTTCTGCTACCACTACCTTTCGGTTCTTCCTTTAAACCATGTTTCCTCACAGAACCTCAATAAGTTGTGTTTTCTATTCAGATACTTTGATGTTCTCACTTGATTTCTGTTTGAAACCGCTTCTTTTGTGTCCTTTGGATCATCAGTAAGTGTAGCTCCTTAACATTTTCAGACATAATTTTGTTGTGGTATTGAATTTGAATGAAATATTCCTTTTATAAGGAATGGGAAAACAAAGGCATTTGAGAAATATCATTCCAAATTTACTTGCACTCATTAATAATTTTCAGTCAGTTGCACTGGTTCATTATTTGAATCATCTAACCCTGTTAATCTTATTTAAATTTCACAGTTGTAAATGTGTTGACATCTAACTCTCTCACAGTAAGCGGTAGAGCTCCATTTTGCTGGTCCGCTCTGTTCAGTATTTATGACAGTATTAGTAAATTGGAAAAATTATGATGTGTAGTTATGTCAGTCTGACCCTAAAGCAACAAGTAATTGCCTGTACCGATGTTTTTACTTATAAAATGCTTATAAATTTAAATTTGTATAAGACATTCCTTTATTTACATAGTTTGAAATGCTATTAAAATATGAGAATGTGTTATGAAAGACATACAAATATGATAGAACTAGCAGTCAGAGAAACTGAGTTAGTTCCATGATGTCACAACTAATGTAAATATACTATGTTGTCAGGTATCCTGATGAAAATTTTATTCAATTTCTCCCCACAGTGGGACCTTAAATAGGCAACAACTGCCTCAACTGCTTACTGAATTCACAAAAGTTCTAAATGAGATCCTCCATGTTCTGCACACAACTTACAATGCTGTGTTCTACAAATTGTTTGACAGGTTTAAATCTGAACATTCCCATTAAGATGTGGGAATATTATAGGTTAACTGACTTGTGGGCCACTATTTATAATAGTAATACTGGCTACTGTTAGAGGACATAGAATTATGTCCTTTCTGAGGGAATAAACTTTGTAGAAAATATAAAACTCATTCAGGATGGCCCTTCTTCTGAGTGAAAGACAAAAATTTCCGTTATTAATTTTTCATGTTTAATTTTAAAAATGCATGTGTACAAATAAGTACAGGTGTGTAATGGTCATTTTCATCTTAGCATTCGATTGAAGTTTGATGTGGTTTTGTTTCATTGAAATTGCCTGTAGTATGTTGTGCTTCCGTATGATAGGCTGTGATGACAATGGTACCTGAGGCATGGCAGAATGATCAGACAATGCCTGCAGACAAGAGGGACTTCTATCATTGGTCAGCCTGTGCAATGGAACCATGGGATGGACCTGCACTGCTCACTTTCACAGATGGACGTTATGTTGGTGCTATTCTGGACAGGTGAGGTGAACAATGATGAGACTCCTTCAAGAAGAACAGTGCGTATACATTTCTGTAAAATGTTTAAGATTCCACAGTGTTACATAGTTAACAAAGGCGAATATTTTCAAATGGAAGAACCAAATTAAAATAAGAGTTGAGTGTTTCTTTGCAGTTTTAGTTTACCAGTTCATAATACTCAAAGCAGTGTTAATGTTCCATCTCTCTTCCCTCTTAATGAGAACAGCAATCACTGTTTGACACTAGGTTTTGTTATAATTAAAATCTGAAGAAATGGAATCTGTATAGCCACTCCTTAGGTACTAAAAGCAGCACCACCTATGAAGTAACAGATGTGATCTGCTAATATTTGGAAACACTGTCGAAGCTATATATTTCTTAAACTCTTTCTGCTCTGTTTATTTTCTGGTCATATTTGTTTGGCCAGGTTTGTGTGTATTGTATTTATTTTTCTGTATGTGATATCCACACTAGATGAGTTATTGAATTGAATTGAATTTATTTACATTCTATAAATCCTAAGCAGGTTAGTACCTTTGGATACAGAACAAGTCAAAAGGTTACATACATAAGTACAGGCAATTTTAGCTTAAAAATTAATATAACTTAATTTTACATCATTCTCTATTTACATTGAAGTATTCATCTAAAGAGTAGAAGGAATGAGCATGTAGATAATTCTTTAACTCTGATTTAAACTTTTTAGTATCATTGCCCAAGTTTTTAATACTTTGTGGCAGATTGTTGAACACTTTTATGCCAGTAAAGTAGACTCCTTTTTGATATACTGATAAAGTTGATGAGGGTAGGTGGAAGTTATATTTTTGTCTAGTATTCATGTTATAGACATCAGAATTTAATTTGAATTTATCTTTGTTGTAAACAACAAATAGGAGAAGCGATAATATGTATTGCGATTGAAGCGGTAGAATTTTTAATTTCTTAAATAATTCTCTACATGAATCTCTACTTCTACATCCTGTAATGATTCTTATTATATTCTTTTGTATTTTAAAAATTATTACACTATGTGTAATATGTGTTATATTAGTTGTAAATCTTTCTGGCATATACTTAGATATTTGGACTTAATATTAAATCTTTCTACATTTTTCTAATTTACACTGCTATTTTATGTGTGGAGCAGTATTGCATGATGTCATGTGATGCAAGAGTTAAATGTGACTTGGTTCTCATATGGAGTATGAAGTCTTCTGGGTTGCAGCGTGATGTAATTCGGAGAAAGGCAACAAAGAATTCTGTACTCTTCATAGTTACGACAGTGATAACCTCGTTTGTTCTGTGTTTTAATGTTGTTGTATATACCAAAAATGTTAAGAGTGCATAAAAATGATGGCCAAGCTGCACTAAGAACTCAGGCTTTGCTTGTTAAATGGAATACAATGAAATAATTATCATTTGTTTATGTTAGGAGCCAGGTGGTTATTGTATGGGAGAGAATTTTATGAAACAGCATTTTGTTCATTTATATGGCTTCTTATTGACAATGTAATGTAAAAGGCTGATAACACTGTAAGTTCTTGCATGCTTGAAACAACATTAACCAACATTAAGCAAAATGACCTAAAAACTGAAGCATGTCTTGGTGGAATATTATGAGGCATTTTGTTAAAGTAATTTTTGACATACATAATTGACTTTCTAATGTTTTAGAAATGGACTGCGCCCTTCTCGTTTCTATATGATGAAGGACAACGTGATGGTCATGGCCTCTGAAGTTGGAGTCTATGATACAGACCCCGCCAATGTACTTCTCAAGGTGGGTCATTTTATGCTGTAAGATTATTATTAGTAGCTGTTGTGGTAGAACTTACTTCTGGGAGAAAGATTAGAACTACATTGACAAATTCCTATTCATTACTAATTCATATATGAGTAATATTATACAGTTTTGGATTTTCATTAGTTTTCTGATAGAAACTTGAATTAAAAAATAAAATTATTTCTATCATTATGGAATATTTACTGATTCTATTGTTTGATAATGCATATGACTTCTTCACAAGATCCTCATGTCTTCTAGTATGGTGTTCCTAAATCATGTGCAAAGCATTTACTCTAATCTCTGAAGCCCATCAGCCATGTAGAAGGCATGCATAAGAAGGAACAACCTTGATTCTCCTTTAAATGCTCTCAGGTTTGATTCCTTTCACCTGCCAGAACCAAACAATGCAATACATCCCTAGCATTTTATATGGGCTGTCAAGTTTGTTACTGTGGTGCCATGTGCAACTGTGTTCACTTATGTGTGCACCAGTGCACACATCTGCATATTATGTTTTGTATTGTGGGGGGGCTAAGAATGTGTAAACCTCTCAGAATCTCCAGATAATTTTTTTTTCAAGTTCACAGGACTTCCTCATATATACTATCTGTATGAGAAAGTAAAATTTGTGACTATAGCAAGAGATCCACATTGGCTGGTAATAGGGTTGTAATGGCATCACAGATTTTTGTAATTCTTTGCTGTTGCTAGCCATAATGTTTTTCAGGAATTCAACTCTTGCCATCGGCCATTGATTACTCTGTGTGTGCGCGAGTGCGTGCATGCACGCACACACATACTTCCTTAATGCTAATACACTTTTCAGTCATTGTAATTATCTGTGGGAATGTCGATGATGGGCTACAGATATTAACACATACATATATTTTACTGTTCCAGAGCCGATTGAAACCAGGAAGAATGTTGCTTGTTGACACTAAGGAGAAGACAATGATTCAGGATGTAGAACTCAAGAGAAACATTGCTGCAAGTCGCCCACACTCGCTGTGGCTCAAAGAGCAGGTACTGACAGCCACACTACTCTGCTTCAGAATGCTTAGTAATGGTGATACATACTTCTCTAATAAAATCATGTTCAGGTATACCATGCAATGTGTCTTTTTTTTTTTTTTTGGAGGGGGCGGGAAGTATGTGGCCATTCTTATTATGTCATTTCAAACTCAAGGTCTTTGGTAAATTGTGTTCAAAAAATGTTATAGAGTACTATTCTTTTGCTTTCTTTATGTTTTTATACTTAAATTGTAGTTAAATATAATTGTGATTGTTTTTTATATAAACATTCGTGTATCTACAATGGTGTCTACCCATCTTCACTTCTGTAGACTGTAGTTATTCATGGACCATACAGGTGTTTTAAAATAATGAAATGCCATAGATTTAATTGTACTACTATGGCATTGATATAACACCATCTCCCAGTTATACCAGAAGTCTGCTTCACATTTAATATTCTGAAACTGAAATTAATTTGTCTTCAACATACCCCTCTATTACAAAGATAAGAAAGGTTATTTTATGTACATATATGAACAGTGAAAATATCTTGACTCATATATGGTTAATGCATTCCTGTGACTGCACGGATGTGTAGTGCTACAGCGCCAAACAACAGAGTAAATATTTGGACTATTTCTCGATTGTTATTCAGCCAGTTCTGTATGCACAACTGATTCATGCTACAAAAAGAATTTTGATTCTGAATATTGTGATGGATATTGCTGTCATATTTAAAATGCATTGTTATTTAATTCTTAAAAATAATAGTAGGTGTTGTATCATTGGGACTGCAGTTGCAGATCCTGTAATGTGGGTGCATTATTCAGGGTATTGTGTATATTTAACATCATTATCACTTAATACATGCAATTTTTTATTGCTAATGGGGTGGGACTAAGTCCCTTGTACTGCGGCCATTGTACCAGTCCCAGATGATAGGTGAGGTTGATTGTGGAGCAATTGGTAGAATGAAGATTGACAGGGGAAACCGAAGTACTCAGAGAAAACCTGCTCCAGCGCCACTTTGTCCACCACAAATCCCACCTGGGATCGAACCCAGGCCACTGCAGTGGAAAGCCAGTGACTAACCGCTTGAGCTATGGCATGGAACACATGCATACCATATATGGTCATTATAAGTTTTTATTTATTTATTTAGGTTTCTCTTCCTCCTACCATATTCACTTCACATATTTTCCCTCATTATGTAATTTTTCAGACCTTAATGTTTAGAAGGAAATCATATGTTTCTCATCACAGCATTCTCCATCTTTATAAAATGCAGTTGCCAAAGCACTGAAACTCATTTTTTCCCCCTGTGTATGTTTAGAATTCACACTTGATTTACCATTAGTCGGACTCCTCGGTACAAAACTAATCAGAAGCTCATCAATTCTGGCTGTAATACAATCAAAAGTATTTAATGTAGAATGTTGTTAACGTGTGTCAACAGACAAGCTGGTAAGCTGCTAGTATAGCATTAGCCATAGTATGAATTTATGTGTTCATAATTTAATGTTCTGATTGTTTTTCCCCCTTCATGTTGCTGACCCTGGTTCGAATAGGGGGTGAGTGTAAACCAGTGATTTAGGATTTTCAAATATAATTCAGTTTGTTTTAGCAGTTTTGCCATTTTGATTTAGTAAGATCATGATCTGTTTTGCCTAGCAGCTAGACAAGCATGTGTTTGGCAGAAATATGTATGTAGATAAAGTACCTAATCTCTGGTGGTTATGGATAGTCTCTTTGTATTATCAAACCATCATCTTGCAGCTTTGGGACTGATAGGGCTTAGATTTTTTTTTTTATTGTTTGTAGTTGTGAATTTTTTGTGTTGGGTTTCAAATTCCAGTTAGGCATTGACATTTATGTTATCATAGTATACAGAACTGAAATATTCTATGTAGCCAGCCATATGTCTCATGTGTTGCAAAAAGAAATAACCCCAACAGAAATTTGGCTGTCAGAAAAATACATAATTCATTAAATTAAGTTATCAGACACATTAATGAAATATATTTATTTTTCTTTTTAAACAATATTTTATTTCATCTTCTTAGTTTTCAGTTCTCTTTCAGAAACCTATAACCACCGTAGATTTTGAGACAGCAAAGTAGAAGTTTAGCTTCTCCATGTTGGGAGAGGATTTGTTTTTTACATTGTTTGTTGGTCTGTTCCTGTTTTTATACCTGCATGTAATGTAATATACCTACCTGGCTTGGGTGTGTTGTATTAATTGTAAATGACTAAAGGTGTTAAGAATGCTTCCTTAGGATCATTTCTATTTTAAAGTGAAAGTTGTGGTAAGGTAAATGTATATCAATTCCCATATTTCCTGGTGTACAAGCTGGATAATATTTTAGGAAGGAGAAATTAAGAAATGTATTATCCTTAAATATTTAGTTTTTTTCGGCAAACAAAATCTGTTATTTATTGATGAAGCGTAAGATGATTTATTTATTTACATATAAATTACCTCTAAATCATATTTCTAAAATTTGCATGGTTAATTTTCATCACTACTTCCCATGCTTAATATACTGTTTAATTTTGAGGCCATTTTCTTGTACACTAAGAATTATGGGAAAGAAGCAGAGAAATGGGAGAGCCTTTGCCTACCTTAACAGGGCTCAACAGAAATACAGAGAGAAGGAAAACACAGCAAGAGTTTTGAACTTTTATAAACACTGGCACTTCTTCCTCTGTCATTACCTGCACCCCTGTAGTGCGAAGTATTTTATACAAATAGTATTTACATGTCAATGCTTAGGATTTTTGGAATTGAGAATAAATTAAAATAAATATCAAAATAACTTTATGTTGCACTGGTCAAAGCACAGATATACTATTTGGTGGGATGGGGATAATTTTCAAAGAATGCTTAGTTAAAGTGTCCAGCTTCAAATACTGCCACGAATTAAGGCTAAAGCTATTCACTTCTATCAAAGTAACCTTATCTTATAAATCTGACATTTACATCCTTTTGACCTCTCACTATGAAATGGTACATTTTACTGCTATGAACAGGGATACTAGCCTGAAGGGTTAATAGAGATCCTGCATTATCCACCTGAGTTAAGATAACATGTTTTCAGTACCTACAGTATAATAACAATAGTAATTATATATTTTTACAAACTTGGACAAAAAGATCCATGGAATAAACTTTTTAATGTGCTGAAGATACTGTCTTCTGGGATGTGATGTAATCTAAATCGTGCAGTACCGATGTTTTGAAGGAATGTGCTGCTGCCTTCATCATTGCAATAGACATATGATTATGAGACTGGAGGAGTTGCATCCCAGGAGACAGAAGTCTTCATAGTCACTACCATGGGATCCTGAAATCTCACATTCTGAATAGGCTGTACGGTTAGTTTTGGAGGAGAATGAAGATTTATCTTTATTATACATATAAACCAAGATACAGCAGAGAAAGTTTAGTTCTCTTTAAAACAAGAAAGCACTGTACTGTATTTCAGTTGCCTTAAGTTGGATAATGAATTAGATTGTTTTAAGGCTGAGAATTGAGAAAGTTATACAGTTCATTTTAACCTAAATCATGCATCTCCAAAAGCTTAAAATTAACATATAATATTTAATTGAAGTGGTTCATAAATCTTACAGGTGAATGTAGTGCCTCAGCATTTGTTAGTTTGTTAGTAGTATTGTATTTTGTACATGATATATTCTTGGTTAAGAAATGTAATTGGGACAAGTTGGAATATTATTTATTGAGAAGAGAGCAATTTGTCTTTTTTGTAGCTTCTTTTTTTCTTGTAAAGACGTTATTTTTAGTTGAATTCAGTAGCAAATAGAGTAGACATAGATTATTGTGTGCCATTTCATGACCAGACTGCAGGAAACAAGGCTCATAATTGTGTGGAAAGTGGAAATTCTCAAACTGTATGTCCACACAAGAGATTATTTTAGTTGAAGAACTTGGGACTTGAGAGATGTGTGGAGGTTCACAACATTTTTTGGCTGTGACCTTTTTCAGAACCGTTTTTGGCAGAACCTCATCATATATAATAAGAGGTATCTCTTTCTTATCAGGAAGTTATCAGCACATAACACAGTAAATCGGAGTTGATAAGTTAACCCCAAAATTAGGTATGAATTCCAAAGCTTCAAAATCATTTCTCCTTACATCTGGTGCAGATGATTGATTGCAGAATTTCAGTCAGATGCTGAAATGCTTAATAATCTGAAACACTAGTAACCACCTGGAAGACTGTATTTAGTCACAATATATAAGAAACTGTGGTTATATTAATGATAAGAAGTTCTGGGAAGAACTGAAGATGCAGAACTATAAATTAATAATTAATACATTTAATTATTCATTTTTGTGCAAAATTTCTACTAGTACAGACTCTTTAGTGTGATTTAGTAAGCCTGTCTTTCCTCACACAGGTTAATTCATTTAAAATGGTGCCCAGATAGAGAACATTATATTTATTCCTTTTAACTTCATGTTTTATATGCTCGGCCAATCCCAATTCTAGGTTTTTTTCTGCATCCTTTCTTTTTGTAGGACTTGCAGCTAGTGTAGTACATTTGTGATTAAAATATATGCTTCTCTGGTACAAATATACAGAGTCCTCCAGGTTAGTTACTTTCCCGTGACTTGTTGCCAGATTCTGATGGCTGATCTTCGTGCAGAACATGAAGTAAACAACAAGAGTGTGATTGTGGCTAATGGAAACGTTGATGGAATAGTGGATATGCAGGTCGGGAGTGTCAATGGTATTACAGATGAAGGTCTTGCTAAAGTTTGGAGTGGAGATAGGCGGCTCTCATTATTCAGTTACTCCATAGAGACCATCAATTTGCTGTTGCTACCGATGATCCAGACAAAGTAAGTATCTCATTTTATGCAATTTGAAAGTTTCAGATGAATATGTTCTTTAAAGTTGAATTATGATTGATTGTTTTTAAGGAGTGATTAAAGTGAATGCATTTCTGCTTTGAAGGAAAGAAGCCCTGGGATCAATGGGTAATGATGCTCCACTTGCTTGTCTGTCATCATTCCAGCCGCTGCCATATGATTACTTCAAACAGTTGTTTGCCCAAGTAAGCAAATTCTGTATAAATATTGTTTTCTGTTTTTAAGTATGTTTCTCAAGGAAGAGAAGCTGTATGTTATACTTCGGTAGTGCCAAATACACACTGCATATGTCACAGAAATTTATCTGGAATCTTTCAGTAAACATTTGCAAGGGACATTACTGTAAATCCTTTTTCATATGCAAATGAATAATAATAAAATCAGAGCCATTTGATGGTTGACATAGTAGTTAGTAGTCAAGCCTAATGATCAAGAAGTCCCAGGGTTGAATCTTAATCTGAGAACCCCCTCTCTTGGCTGATATTTTGCAGTTTTCCTCAATCCCTCCAGATAATTGCTGGGAGAGTGCCTCAGAATAGTTTGTGACTGTTTCCACTCACATCCTTGCCCAGAATGGGAAAATTTTGAATTATTGCCTATGTGTAATGGTATGTCTGTTCATGATTCACAATTAATATTGATCCATGATATTACTATGCCCCCTCATGTTAAACATTTACGAATGATAAGAAAAATTGACAAATATTCCTTGTTAAATTTTAATTATAATCTTAGTAATGAACTTTGGAATGAAGTATTTGATAATAATGAAGTGAACGCTGTTTTCAGCGCGTTCATAAACATTTTCTTAAGACACTTTTGTAATAGTTTTCCCAAATGTCTCACTAGACCCCATACTAATACTGAAGCATGGATATCATCTAGCATAAAAACTAAATGTAGCATAAAAAGACATTTGTATTTAAGCTGTAAAGAGAGTAATAATCCTAATATACAAAGTTACTATAAGCTATTCTGTAAAGATTTATCTATTATAGAAGCCAAACGTTCATATTATGATAAACTAATTATAAACTCCAATAATAGAACTAAAACCACTTGGAATATTGTTATATCATTGACCGGGAGGAAACCCTATCATGAAATTATACCGAACTTGAGTGCTCCCCAATAGATCATATATCAATACTAAAATGATTGCTGAATCCTTCAATAAATATTTTTTATCAATAGCGGAGACCATTACCAAAAGTACATCAAAAAATTGTGATATTGTCACGTGTTGGGTATATGTCACGTGACAAGTAACTTCACGCCTTATTTGTTATAGCGAATTTATTGCACATTCGCTCTCCACACTTATACAATCTTAATCTTATGCAATTCACTATCTCAATTACTGTTCAACTGCATCTCGGCAGGTGTTGCTGGGCAATGTTGTCGAGAGTTGTTTACTGCTGCATAGCAACCGCGGCATCCGCCTATACATCACCGCGGGGGAAGGGGGCGGAGTGTTGACTGGCCCGTTACTGTAGTAGCGACAGTGCCCGATGTTGTTATGTCACTGCTGGTGGGGGAGGGGATATCCTCCATAGTGCAACATGTCACAATATATTTGACATATGTAATAAGGCTAATGAATATTTAACTGATATATTTATAACCACTTTCCTTCCAATCAATTATAATTACGTTACAACAAATGAAATTGAAAAAAATTATAGACAAATTGAAAACGACCAGTTCTACTGAGTATGATGAGATCCCTATCAAAGTATTAAAATGTTGTAAACACTTTATTACCTCATCCATAACATACATAATAAATAGATCATTAGCTACCGGTATATTTCCTGATAGGCTAAAATTCTCTGAGATAAAACCTATATATAAAAATGGTGATAAAAATCTTATCAATAATTATAGGCCTATATCCTTATTGACTTCGTTTTCGAAGATATTTGAGAGAGTGGTGTTTGTAAGACTTTGTCATCATTTCACTATGAACAATGTTTTAGCCAATGAAGAGTTTGGATTTCGAATGAATCTTTCCACTGAAAAGGCCATTAATAGATTGCTTGATCTGACCTTAACTGCCCTAAATGCTGGCCATAATGTGGGTGGAATATTTTGTGATCTGAAAAAGGCCTCTGATTGTGTCAATCACAAGATTTTATTATCCAAGTTGGAATTCTATGGTATTACGGGTCCGATGTATAAATGGATAACATCTTATCTGAATGAAAGTTTCAGAGAATTAAATTACAAGGTAATGATAGTAACCTAAATACCTATTCAAATTGGGGCTTAATATCCCATGGTGTCCTGCAGGGATCCATTTTGGGTCTCCTGTTATTCTTGATCTATATTAATGATTTGCCTTTAGTATTAAATAGGATTTCCTCTCCTATCTTCTTTGCTGATGATACTAGTGCGATTATATCCAATCCAGATCCTCTAATTTTCATACATAGTGTGACCGAAGTTCTCAATAAATTAAAATTATGCTTTAATGCTAATTTATTAGTCTTGAACTTTTCTAAAACTGAATTTGTCAAGTGTAATACAAAATATATGCATGAACATGAGACAAAGACAGTATATGGATAACATGGAAATACCCAACTCAACCCGTTTAACGTTCTTAGGGGTTAATATTGCAAATACTCTGACTTGGAAAACTCATACTGACCCAGTTATCCTGAAACTTAGCTCTGTGTGCTATGCAATCCAAGTCATAAAACCGTTTGTGAGTCAGGAAACTTTGCTGATGGTTTATTATACCTATTTTCACTATATTGTTCGATATGGCATTACTTTTTGGGGTAACTCTTAGTATGCTATCAATGTCTTTCATTTGCAAAAGAGGGCGGTGAGACTAATAACTGGTGCTGGTAATAGAAACTCATGTAAAACGATATTCACTACTCTAAAAATTCCTACTCTTTCATCTTTGTATATTTATTCACTACTATCTTTTGTGGTCGATAACATGGATCAATATTATTTTGTATCTGATATACATAATAGAGACACTAGACCGGTACTCGACAGAAATCTATATCAACCCTTAACTCATTTATCATATCAAAAAGGCTCATATTATATGGGCATCAAACTATTCAATTGTCTCCCACTAAATTTGAAGCAATTATATAAAGATATTAAACAGTTTAAATTAAAATTAAAAGAATTCTTGAGTTGTCACCCATTTTATACTATGGATGAATTTTTTGTATATACGAGGGTGAGTCAAATGAAAACCTTAAATTTGTAATAAAAAATCGAAATTTCGCGCCATTATCCTGTAAGTTGGTAAGCGTGCTACAAACAGCGTACAGAATGGCCTGTAGGTTGCAGCATAGTGCAGATGCACAAACACCGTCACAGCACCAGTATAAGATGGCTGTCCCACTTGAGAATTGCACCAGGGAAGAACAGCATTCTGTTATTCGGTTTTTGTGTAGTGAAGGTGTGAAACCTATTGAAATTTATCGATGAATGAAGTTTCAGTATGGTGATGCATGTTTATCACATCAGCAAGTGTACGAATGGAGTAGGAAGTTTGCAAATGGTGTGACTTCAGTGGAAGATGCTCCTCGTCTGGGTCAGGAACATCGAGTTGTGGCTCCAGAGAACACTGCAGCAGTTGAAGCCATAGTGAGGGAAAACCGCTGAGTGACATTGAATGAAATTGCAGCAAGTTTAAACATTAGAGGTACACCACGTGGTGCATGAGTGGTTGCACGGACTACCAACAGAATTTTTTTCTAAAGGAATTCATGCACTTTGTAAGTGCTGGAGGACTTGCATTGAGCGTGGGGGAGATTATGTTGAAAAGTGATACAGCTTTGTACCACTTATGCACAATAAGTAATACTCAAAAAAATATTTAAGGTTTTCATTTGACTCGCCTATGTACTAATCGGTAAGATTGTATTCTGGTTCTATTCTTACGTCTTGACTTAGTTCTTTATACTGCTTATTTATNATCAATCAATCAATCAATTTGGATTTTATGGAAATAATAGACGAGTAATGAAAACGAAAAAAAGAGCTTGTACTGATGCCTGAAACCTTTGAGAGTTCTATGTCTTGGTTTTGCATTGTTTTTGTAAACTGGGGGAGTTCTGTTGTATATATGGTTGATATGTTCTTTTTTATTGTTTTATATTATGAATGCCTTGACTTGTTCCTGTGGGAATGGAATGTTTGTTTTTTGATCTGTGACTCATTCTGTATCCAATGGTTGTTTCCCAGCCTGTATCTGGATCTATTTTGAATTTGAAATAAATGAAATGAAAATTCAATGTTCATAATCAGCCTATCACTATTTAATTGTAAGTAACTTTTCATCTTCAATGATATCAGAGGATGACTCAATAAACATAGAAGAAATCTGATGATCAAATTACTTTCTGATACTATCATGAGGTTGTTGGTGATTAAATTACTTTTTTATATGATGTCAGTAATCTGATAGACTGTAGACTTGTAATTCTACTCATAATAATAAGAATGAAGCATCTTGAAAGACTGAAGATGTAGATAAGTTCAAGGGTTGGTTGTACCGTTATAATTGTTATTTTTTTTCTCATTTTCTAGACTTAACTGTTACTTTTATTTTTGTGCCAAAACAGTTCATTGTGAAAACATGTTTTGTTTATTGTGTCATTTAAAAAGGAATTCTGACTTATACCAGTCAGACTTCATTAAGTTAGTCCTTCTCCTTTTCCTTAGCTCCAGAAATAATGTTACAGCAAATAATATGACAATTGATTTCTCTAGGTAACAAACCCACCTATTGATCCATTCCGAGAAAAGGTTGTAATGTCCCTGATGTGTCCTATTGGACCTGAAGCAAACTTGTTGGAACCAAGTGAAAAACAGTGTCATCGTCTGTTTCTGCCTCACCCTATTCTCTCGCTGTCTGACCTGGAAGCCATAAAAGCAACTAGATATAGAGGATGGAAAGTAAGTGCAAGAAATATGAAGTCTCAGTATATTTCAGTTGAATACTTACTCATCATCTGATGTGTAGAAGATACTCTTACTCATAAGCTACTAATATTAATAATTAGAATTAGAATGAATGAATGAATGAATGAATGAAAGCCCATATTTGATCAAACTGCATAATGGAATCAGATTTCATAACACCTCAAATATAAATTTTTGGATCTGGAAAAGTGTAAAGGTGTATTGAACCATTTCATGCTGCTAATAAGTAGAACTACTGGGGAAGGTTTATAACATAATAAAAGTGGTATGCAATTTATCCTGGCTAAAATTCAAACCTAGCACCTCCAGGGTATGTTTCTAAGGCATTACATCTACACCACTCTGTTCAGAAGGGGATGCTGTAAATTGGATAAAAATTGTGTAGCTACAATACCTGAACATCACCATGTATTTTATAAATATTCAAATTTTCACATACTGCAGGCAGTAGTTAGATCTGGACTGTGAACTTAATGTCATACTACAAGTAACTTAAATCCAGTTTATGATGATGGTCCTCTACCAGTGGTTGCAAAAAAAATGGGGGGGTAGCAGATCTGAAACACTTATGCTGTAAAGGTAAAATCCCAGAGAAGATCACCAGTTTTATGAAAATCTTACAGGAATGAACAGAACCACTGGTGATTATTACCGAGAGGAAAAGTAAGATCTTATTGATGAATGTGGCTATCCTTCCTCTCTGCCTGATTTTTTTTTGTGTGAATTTATTAGAGAAGAGGTACCACCACCACCATGATGATGATCATGATCATCATCATCAGCAGCAGCAGTGCCACCACTGCCACCGCCACACTAATTTCTTAGTGATTCATGTTTACTCGAATATCTTTCAAGTATTAAATTGATGGTAGATTATTCTTCTACTGTTAAACTATTTATGACAAAAAATAAATAATTTCTATAAAGAGAGAATTTATTGTGTTACAGAGATAATATGATGACAGAACTCTATATACTTATGTTAGGATGGCCCAGTTTTACTATTCAGAGCTGTCCTAAATCCAGAGACAGACAAGTGTATCTGTGCTGAACTCGGAACATTTTAAAACACTTTTTAAACTAACAGAAAGGGGATTTAAAGTTAACATTCATTGCTAAATAACATATAAATAATGGATTCAGTGAATATTATAACAGGAGTAGTTCACACAGTGTTACTACAAGATGTAAGTTTGATCACAGCATCATCATATCTTAAAACACAACTTTATCTAGTGACATTGCTGTGGTTCAAAGCTGACAACTTACAGTTGTTGACTTGTAAACATTATTTCATACATAGCTTGTAGGAATATTTATACTCTCTCTGTGTACAGTATTTAATATTTCCATCTCTAGTGGTCTATTAGTTGTTGCTGTCAGGTTGAAAGCTCACTGAAGTTTTCACATTGTTGCCATGTTGTACATTCTGTATAGAAAAAAAGTCAGTTTAGAAAAAGTTCTTCAGTGGTTGGAGGGTTATAATCTCTTCACACTGTTGCGGGGTTTCACACTTTATAACCCTATTCACAATAATCTTTTCACTCTATCTTCAGTAGTCTACACATATTAATTACAATACAGGAGCTATACAAATGTCACTGTATCACACACTCCCAATTATTACTCAGTTATCACAAACTATCACTGATTATAACAGGTGTCTGGTTCTTCTTTCTGCGACGGCTGCTATATTCCAACTAGCTTCGTAGGATGCTGCCTTGAGAACTCATTCACTGATGACTTGAGAACTGTCTTTGGCTGCTGATACACTTTTAACTCGTTCACTGCTGACTGGAGAACTCATTCACTGATGACTTGAGAACTCATTCACTGCTGACTTGAGAACTCACTTCGGCGGCTGATACACTTTTAACTGCCTTATATAGTCGCAGTGTCTGCCTGTTAGGTAATGGGTATCGCTATTGCCTGACTCTGTGTCGACAGCGGCATTGTGTGCCATGTCACAGTGTGGAGGGGGGGGGGACGGAGCACTGACTCACCTGCCACGTCACCGTGGCCAGAGCTGCCATGTCACTGCTGGGTAGGGAGGGGGTGTCCTCCATTGCACAACATATCACAATATGTTGATCAAAATCATGTACAGTGGAGAAAGAAACGTTTTTTTGAATGATGCAAATATATGAGAAAGTCTGTGTGATGCATTTTATTGTAATTATTTTTATGTTCTAGTAAATGTGTTCATATGTGTGTAATGATGAAGTGAAGAGCTTTTATTTTCAGTATCTTGATTGAAATTAAAGCAATCACAAATGCCAAGGTACTACATATCCTGTTTTTATGAACTGTGTAATCATTATTGCATCACCACAGCAATATCAGAGCATTAATGCTCTTTCTTTCAGACAAAAGTGATAGACATCACATTTGATGCAGAGGAAGGTCCGAAAGGACTGTCAAAGGCTCTGGACAGGATCTGTGAGGAGACTTGTAGAGCTGCACAGGAGAGCTACCAGTTTCTTGTTCTGTCCGACAGGAAGGCTGGAATAAACAGGTACTTGCTTCATTTTGCAGAGAGCTGATTTTTCTGATGTGTAAAATCAGTTCCAGGTAGGAGAGTTACATAGAGTCAACATTTCATAATTTTGCTGGAGTATTATGAATTGTTGTCATCACAAATCCTTTTGCCACTATACCTGTGCTTAACATGCTGCTCATATGCCCACAGTAGTGCATTTTGGATCCTGAAATCAATTTTAACTATCCACATGTTGCCTGCGAACAGTACTTCTGCTGAAAACATTCTTGCAATATTAAACTGTTTCATGTGAGTTAGTGGATTACCTGCAATTGGATTTTGCCTTTTTTCAGACTTAATATACTAGAAAAAGTTTTACTTTTTTATGTAACTAATTTTGTTGTGCATCTGTGTGTGCAAGGATGTCATTAGTTTATAGTAAAGTAAAAGTAAAGTAAAGTAAAGTGAAGTAGAGCAAAGCTATCCCTGTAACAGGCCATGAAGGCCCATAGGGTTGTGAGATGTTGAGGGTCCCACATTATCTAGACAATCGGCTTAAAGATGGTGGTAAGGTTGTCAGCCTTACACGCCAGCTGTGCTTTACTCCCCAGGAAAATTATTTATTTAATTACTGGTACTCATATCTGTTAAGAGGCTGAGTGAACCCCAGGGCCATAGTGCTCTTCATTTTATTTATACTTACAGAGATGTGGGCAGGGTTGGATTTACAGTTTTTGGGGCCCCAGGGTAATCAAAATGTGGAGGCCCCTGTCAGTAAATTAGAGGTAAAGTTATATCTGTGTATAATTAATTAAGCACCACACTATGAAGATATCTGGGGAAGTGGAAGTATAGCCTCACCATTCTTGTCCTTGGCACTAGGTAAGATGTGTTGTCATTTTCATGCCTCAGCTACTGCACCCCTGGGAAAAGAGCCCCCAGTACCCAATGGGTAGGAGGCTGGCCCTGTCACAAAGGACACATTTAGATTATAACGGTTATTTTTGCAGTCATCATTTCTTATAATAACTAAAAATACAACTAACCTTTCTTGATCTTAAAGAAGCAAATGTTTCAATAAAATCTCTGGGTTTGGTTTATGTTTCTGTTGCTCATCTGTAAATCCACCCATAGATATGGGTGTTGTCAGTTCTGCAGTGTGTATTACGCACACGCACGCAGATATATATTCATTCAGGCGCGCACCTTGTTGTACCAAATCCACTTTCATTTAAGTTTATTTATTCATATACCATAATCATTTAATTAATAGGAGATATGTTGCTGTGGATATGATTTTACCGAGTTCTTTAGAAACTTGTGGATATGTTATAGGCCTTTTATATCACTTTTCAGTCTGTTATAAAACTGAATGTCTGTACGAATATTCTCAGCATTCTTTTCTTCAAATTTATTTTTGCAGAAATGTAAATTTTTGTTTTATGAATAATATGGTTAGGAACAGGGGGCACATGGTTGAGGCACTGTGCCGCAAGCCAGAAGGTCATGGGTTCGATTCCCAATGTCATTGGATTTTACAGGTGACCTAATCCTTCCAGCCACTCTATGGCCCTGGGGCTGACTCAGCCTCTAACAGAAATGCTTACCAGGAATCTTCCTGAAGGTAAATAGCAGTTGGCACATAAGGCTGACAGCCCCCACCATCATCTGTGAGCTAAATATATAGACAATATGAGAACCTTGATGTCTCACAGTCCTATGACCCTCTACAGCCTGTTACAGGGATAACTTTACCCTTTTCTTATGATTAGGAACATAGACGATACATGAAATATTTGTGAAGGTACCCATATTTGTCTCTGTGTAAGATAATATCTCTCATATATGTGCATATTCGTGTGTGTGTGTGTGAAAGTAATTTAAAATGCTTGAGAATATTAAACGAGTGGTTCCTTATTCCAGGCATTTAAATAGTATTTTAGTACCTAAGGAATTATCATTTATTTTTCTCCATTCACAGTTTCAGGTTGCTGATCACTTCTGTGATTTTCTTTCTTCTTTCTGACCCCTTTACCTGAGGCAGCCTGAACTTGGCTGTAGATTATTATTAGTTTGTGACTTATCGAGGAACTTTACCTCATTTTAAATGTTACAGAATCCCAGTCAGCACACTTCTTGCCTTGGGTGCCACACACCACTACCTCATTGAGGAGCGGCAGAGAATGAAAGTGGGACTTATTTTGGAGACAGCTGAAGCCAGGTGCGTTAATTCAAGATTTAGTTACCCAGAAAAGTTCATGGATAATATCTACAAGTTCTATGAGGACAGAAGGTACAATTTTATCCACAGTCAGAAACGTATATTCACTGTTGAATTAAAATTGTAAGGGAAGGGATTCAGTAATAAGAAGGTGAACAAGAAGGAAAATTAAAAAATGAAGGCTTCTCAGTTCTGAGAAAATACAGACTTAGAAGCTCCAAAAATTAAAAAATTAGCTTAGAGAAAGGAATTCTATATACTTTTCAAATGAGAGGTTGCAATTTTTATTTAAGTTTTGTAGCATATCTAGATTAACTTCGTTTGTGAGTCAGAACTGAATTGGCAGTTTCTTGTGTAACATTCCAGTTGACACTTGAGCAGCTGTCATCAGGGAATCAGTGAAGCCTTCATTATGTTCTGCAAGTGGTCAAGAGAGTGGTATTCCTTTTTGTGTGTTTGTTAAATCTTTGCTATATATTATATTCCTGCCATTTTCCTGAGATAATCCAATTGAAGGTAAAAATATGAAAGAAATGCATCAGGAATGCATTTTCATAGCTCATTAAATGAAGGCAAATGCCATACTATGTGGTAATGAATGCTTTTTTGATATCAGTTGAATATTCCAGCAATAGGGTTAGTGGACCAATTGTGGGTTAGCTGGTTTGGGGTATCACTGTACCTGCAGGAAAACTGGTAGGCAAGACTAGGCTTTTAGAACATATGAAGCTGCCTGGTACTGGACCATTATCAGCCACTTCCCAGTGCCTTCTGCCTTAACTATTTACAGAGAAGCCTGTAGCTATGGCTGATCATTCTTTCATTAATTCATTCATTCATTTATTGTATATTCCATAAATCCATATACATAGATATAGAACCAGTGACATAGTTAATGTAGTACAATACAATTATAAATATATATGTACAGCTTATAATCATTATAATAGACAAAAAAACATGTGTTAAATTTACAGTCTTACATCACTATACATAAAATTATGCAATATTAAAATTGTTTATGTTATTATCCTTATTTCTAGGCAAATTTGTTACTAAAGAATTCATCACATGTATAAAAAGAGTTTTGCAATAAAAATGTTGTCAACTGAATTTTAAAAATTTTCAAGTCATTAGACATAGATTTGATTTTTGGTGGCAAATGATTAAAGATCTTTACCCCCATGTAACATATTCCTTTTTGGAATTGTGTCAGACTAGTTTGCGGATAATGCAGATCACAGATAGATCTGGTACTACAATTATGCATTTGTGAGTTGAATGTGAACAATTCCTTATTTACTATGACAAACAGGGAAATCGACAATATATATTGAGCTTGTAGGGGGAGGATATCCAATTCTTGAAACAAACTACGACACGATGTTCTCTTTGTTGTATTTGTTATAATCCTAATTATCCTTTTCTGCATCCTAAACACTTTTATACTATGCGGGGAGTTACCCCAGAATATTAAGTGGAGTCTGTTGGGAACACTACCTGGTCATGTTATCTTCCATCATTTCCAAACCTTTCTCCCACTCTTTCACTTAATTTTTAAGATATGGGCATTCATTTGTCATGCAGAGGTCTCAGTTTTGAAGATTAGGTTGAGTCTCGATTTGAATAATGATCTGTCCATTCTCAGACTTCAAGAACCTTCAGATAACTGTTTTTGCAGTGCCCCTTAGCACACAGAATACTTGATTCTTAAGAATTAAGAGTGGTTGGCAATGCTAGCACAGGTCAACTCTGTCTTCCTCTATCTGCCCACATTATGTCTTTCTTTTTTTCTGTTTATTCTCCAGTTAGTGTCTTTTGAGAAAGTTTGAATATATTTCATCAACATTCTGCTTCCTGTCTTAACATGTTTGTACCCTACTAACTTTTCAGCAGTTTGTCTNACCCCAAAACTATATCTACATGTACGTAACCTTAGCGGCATTACATACCCTACTAACTTTTCAGCAGTTTGTCAATTTTGCTGCATGTTACAATACACTACTGTTTCCTTTGCAGAGAGGTGCATAACATGTGTGTGTTGCTGGGATATGGAGCAGATGCTATCTGTCCATATCTGGTATTTGAAATATCTCAAGCCCTCCGGAATGAAGGTGTTCTTGATGCTTCATTTACAGATGATGTGTTGTACAAAGTAAGTTGAAGTGTGAATGACACCATGCATTACAGTAACTTTGTCTTAGTACTGTAGTATATAAATTGGTAACTAATGGAAATAGTAGTAGGAAATTAATTATCCCTAGAATGGTATACATCAGTGGGAAGGACAACTAGCAAAACATTCTTGAGAAATTACTGCTTACTGTGTTTCCTTTATTACAGACATGTGCATTCTCAGGAAATTTGAAGTTCTCAGTGGTGGTGACAGTGAACAGTTCTGTGTTCTTGGATGTGAAGCCATGTAGTGTGGTAGAAATTTACAGACACTTCATAGGGAAATACTGCCTCTATTTTCAGGATGAAAGCATAAATCAAATAAACAAATTTATTGCTGTTTGTTTGCTTCTTTGATACTGAAGCTGGAGGCAGTTTATTCCTCTGATACATCAGCAAACTTCTACTGGACTACATGGTGTAACATCCCAAAAATATGATTGTCTTCATAGTCACTGCTGTGAGAACCTCAGTGTGCTTCATGACAGTTAATCATCATCCAAGAACAGGAGATTTTAAATTCGCCTTTACTGTGGAGCTTAATTTTAACTTAAGGGTAATGGCATCAATGCTGAGGAAATGCAATACTCTGCCAGCTTGACTGCATACGCATATCATTATAATATTACAGCGTGTAGCCAGTGAAGTTTAAGTCAGCATTTCATTCTCCATATTGAAGGTTAAATTCTTATTTTTGTTATAATAGCTGACCATGGTTCAGCATTTGAAGCCAAAAGAAGTTCATGTATGTCACAAGTAATTTCACTGATTGAGAATTTAGTATGAACTGTGTTTTGTCATTAAAAATGTTATTACCAAATACTTCTACTTGTTTCAGTATCCTACCAAGAGGTTGTTAATGTGATATTATTATTCTGATTGCACATGCCCAACTGAGAACAAAAGTGATTATGTAAAGGACAATTTTTGTGAGAAATTAGAACGTACATTCAGCTGGTTCCAAAGAGCCATATGAATATTCTGCTGGGAGATTTCAGTGTAAAGGTATTTTCAGATTGACAATTGGGAACCAGAATTTACTAGGAGAGAATGATAATAAGCTTAGAATATAGAATTTCTCTGCATCAGAAAATTTAATTGTTAAGAGTACAATTTCCCCACATTGCAATATTTATAAATACATTTGGACTTCTTCTGATGGGAAAATATGCAACCATACTGATCACATCTTGATAGTATGTGGCATCCAGGTGTGCTTACATTCACTTATTCAGAAGAGCAATCTGTAGTACTGATCACTGTCTGGTGTTTTTCATATGTTGCAGCATAACTGTGAGTAACTAAACAAATAACTCAAAAAAGTTGGTATGGAAAGTCTAAAGCTACATGATGTAGAAGTTAAGGATACGATGCCAGTGAGCAAATAAAAGTGTTGTAAGGAAGGGCTGTTGGCTTGTATCTAATGTGATTTGTTCTGCTCATTAGGTATGAATTGACTGGAATAGCTTGTGTAGCATAGTNAAACGGTGCCAAATCCCAGAAGACTGCTTTCTTCATAGTCACCGCCGTGAAAGCCTCAAATCTTACATAGTATGTGTTGTTGTTTTAAACAGAATTATTCAGATGCTATGGAGCGAGGCATTGCCAAAGTGATGGCCAAGATGGGTATTTCAACATTGCAGTCCTATAAAGGAGCTCAGATCTTTGAGGCAGTTGGCCTAGCAGATGAAGTTGTGGAGAAGTGCTTTAGAGTAAGTTGTATTATATAGTCATCTCTGTATCAAAGGCATTTGTATTTTAAAGAAAAATATATGCTGTGCCTTGGCTGTAATATCTATTAAAGAAAACTTCCAATAACAATGTCCCAAAATATTGGTTCCAGACATTTGTTTAATAGTCTTTTTCAACATAAAGCAATGTTTATCAGGCTTATAATGATGGAGAAACTTGGAAATCTCATGTGATGTACTCCTGAGTGCATGATGTCGCTGCTTAGTTAGTGGTATGTGCTATAGCAGATTTTTAATAACACATGTGACAATAAATATAAAGGCATATCAGTTAGTTGAAACTTTCAACATCCCATTCAAGGCTATAGAATCTTCACACCCATATCAGAGTTAGCTGCTTATCCATTCATTCATTCATTCATTTATTCACATTCCATAAAATCCTTACATGGTTTAAACATTCGAACAGATATAGAAATCGTCAAGTAGTATGAACTCATCTTGCTTATAATCAAGCAGTTGTCAATATGTTTGTAATATAAATCAAATTAAAAAGTTAAATATATAAATTACCCTTTGCATAATGTTGTCATTGTCATCTATTAAAATATTCCTCCAATGTATAAAAGGAGTTCACAAATAAAAACTCTTTTAAATTGGCTTTAAACTTATTTGCATTATTTGAGATTATTTTGATTGTATTTGGAAGTCCATTATAAATCCTTGCAGCCATGTGATAAACCCCATTCCTGTATTTCGCCAAATTGACCTGGTACATATGTATATTCATATTTTGTCTAGTATCTTTTCCACAGCAATCCTTATTTATGTTGAATATTTCTTTATTATTTATTACAAACGTAATTAATGAGTACATGTACTGTAGACTGTAGACATTCTGGACTCTGTCTGTATATTGACACCTATTAGTAATATGTATGATAGAACCATCAACACTGCAGTTAATTAGGAGGTTACAGTTCAATAAGTAACAGGTTGGGATATGTAAATCAGTATATGAATCAATGTATTAAATGACTGTCACACTGCAGGTTTCAGTCCTACCTAGCCTCCTAATTAATTGTTGTGTTGACTGTATGTACACACAACAGAATGCATTAAGTCTCATGTTATGTTACTCAGAGACTGTTGCACTTTAATGTACAACATCGCTTCACTGTTGGTTGGATGCCTAGATGTGTTTTTGCTGTGTTAAATGCACAAACATAGGTATGTTTAACAAAGAATATAATTTGGTTGCTGACATTTTTCAGTATTGCAATTACTCATCTCTTAATTTATAAACTTTATTTTGCAAGTACTCATTGAGTTTTATATTTTGTACACTTGGACAGTCTTCTCATGCTATGTACCTCTCATTGCATATACTGTTACCTTGTCTCCTTTTCAGTGCTTGCTTATATTTGGCCATCTTGCATTGTCAGTAACTTGAACTTAAAATGCATTTATTTAACACCTGAAAATTATTGTTTTAATATAAATTTGTGTTGGCTGGAAAACTTTGTAGAGGCTTTTGAAGATTATTCACATAACAGTTTTCTGCTATTAAACCCCATTAATAGCACAAATATATAGAAGTATTCCAGTATACAGGTAACTGTAGATAGATTTCTTGCCAAATCATAACTTTGTTTTTATGTATTTGAATGTGTGTATCATTATTAATTTAGTTTTATTTAATAGGTATGCTCTAAACTGTATTTATTATGCACAGTAAAACCTAAAGTGGATAAGAATAATTGTATCTAACTAGTCAGGGCTGCAAGGCTGCAATTTTTGTTTCAAGATAAAACTTTGACCTGCTCTCTTTTTTCTCTCTGGCATCTAATGTTGCATACAGAATGTGTAGAACTTTATTCCTTTTTTTATCAAAATTAGGAGGCAATGGAAATATAAATTGGTCAATATTTTAGATGGATGCTTATTCCTGCACTTTATTCTTTATCCTTTTTCATTACTTTTGTGGGATTGTCGTATGAATGAATAGACAACCACTAGTTGAACTGTCCTATAGGATTTATTGCAGCTGCACAGTATACACAGATGGATAACAACACTAGTGAACTGCTTGAACACTGAACTGGTATTGTGGAACGGTAGAACTAGACTGTCACTGTAACTCAGTGTATCTTCTTATGTAGCCTAGAATCGGACATATAGAAAGCGGTTACGTAATAGGTACTGCTATTGCCGGTTACCGTGTTTATAAGTTCCCTAGCAACCGCTGTTTACTTGCTTCTGCCTAGCAACCGTTGTTTACTTGTTGTTGCTAAGCAATGACGCTTGCGTTGTCACACTTGCTTGAATGTGGGCAGTTCCCACATCACCCCCCC